TCTTTCTCTGCCTGGCTTATTTCACTGAGCATAATACCCTCTAGCTCCATCCATGTTGTTGCAAATGGTAGGATTTATTTTCTTCTTATGGCTGAATAATATTCCATTGTGTATATGTACCACATCTTCTTTATCCATTCATCTACTGATGGACACTTAGGTTTCTGCTGCTGTTTTCTTCCTTCAGTTTTTTCTTTGTTCTTATACTCCACAGATGAGTGAGTTCATCTGGTACTTGTCTTTCTCTGCCTGGCTTATTTCATTGAGCATAATACCCTCTAGCTCCATCCATGGCTTCTTACATATTTTTATACCATGTTTATTGAGATAGAATTTGTGTACATTATAATTCAGACATTTAAAGTGTACTGTTCAGTGGTTTTTAGCATATTCACTATACAGTACAGTCATCACCATTATTTAGAACATTTCTGTTACCCCAGAAAGAAACCCCATACTCAGCAGTGTCCCCTGCAATTCTGTCTTCCCCAGCCGCTGGCCACCACCAGTCTGCTTTCTGTCTCTGTGCATTTGCCTGTCCTGGAGTTTCATGTCAGTGGAATCCTAGAACATGTGATCCTGACTGGCTTCTTCACTCAGCATGTTTTCTAGTTTATCTAGCCCCTCACTTGTTAACAGAAGATTTCCCTGCCTTCCAAAGATGTAAAAACTCTTAAGAAAATTAGGTGGGATTCTTGTCTGAAGGGCTTTATATAAAATCAGAAAGAAAACTGTAGAGTTACTAGTTATCTACTCAATGTCTGCCTTACAAGTTCTGATCTCTTAGTAAGAATGGTTTCTTCCCTGTCTGCACAGGGAAGGCAGACAGGGGCCTGGTGGCTATAGCATGTCAAGTGGGTTTCTGGGCTGAATTGGTGCATGGTAGGCCTGGAGATACAGGATGACCTGAGCACAGTTGTCACCCTAGGCTGGGTCAGGGGTCACAGGAGCACAGGGAGTGGTCTGGCTGTGCCCAGGCAGCAGGATGCAGGCCCTGGAGGCCAGTCCTCAGCATTGCAGGTCCTGAGAGGATGTTTCCTCCATAAGGCCTCTCTGGACAGGTCCAACTAGTCTCTTGGACCTCCCTGGGGAGTAGCTAGGGCCTCAGAGCATCTCCTTCAAGCTGTGCCCAAAGTGCCTCCAGGGACCAGCAGACAGTCGTGGATAACCCAAGCCACCTCCTGCCCCTAGTGGAGTAAGCCTAGCAGGCGGTGCCGGTTGGGCCCACTGCGGTGTGGGAAGAGCCTCTGTAGTCTCTCTCAGTCTGGATGGGTGGTCCTGGGCTCTCCAAGGTGCTGTTGCCCTGCCTGGTGGCCTCCAGAAAAGCTGGAGCCGCAAGCTTCCCCTCTCAACTTTCAGGCCATCGTCCTGGAAGTCAGGACTTTTTGCAAAGCTGTCTGAAAACCCCCGAAGTTGAGAGGATCACTTCACTCCCCCAACAGAAGAGCCATCCCTTCTCCAGAGGAAAAGACCTCAGGTTCTGAGGAAGCCCTGTGGGTCTTGGGTGCTCACAGCCTTTGGGGGTGATTAACATGGTTAACAAGGGCAGGAGAAGAGAAGGGAACTAGCATTAGTGAGTGCCTGCTGTATACCAGGCGCCTGCTATACGTGGTCTCCAGGGTAGAGGACCCCATCCAGGAATATGGCTCTGCAGAAGGAGCCAGACCCTGAGGATGTGCCCCTCTGAAGGCACGGCGTCCACAGACTCAGAGAGTGCCTTCCAGTGATCAAAGTCACCGACCAGGGGACTTAGCTAACCCCTCCACATCTCTTACTAACACTATAGCTAAATCTAAGAACACTGACCCTTTATTCCTATTAAATCAACTGCTATCCTCATTACAAAATCTTCAACCAGTATTAACAGAATCCACAATATATCTCCCATCAAACTTCAAATAAATCTCAAAACCTCTCCCCCAAATCAGTACCCTATAAATAAAAAAGCCTTTCAAAACAGTAAACCCATAATAGCAAATTATAAAGTGTAAAACCTCATTGTTCCTCACACTAATCCCTATAATATCCATTTTACCTCTAAAAAAAACCCAGTGGACAGGAATAGAAATTTATCCAGGACCTCCAAACAATAAATAATGCTATCATCCCTCAACACCCCGTTATACCCCACTCCCCTGCACTACTGATGTCCATTGCCAGACCTTTCCTCCTCTAGTTCCTGAGTGGGAAGAGGCCCCCCTCCCTTGTCCAGATGGCCTGGGGGGCTGTATTTGTCAGATTTCAGTTTTCCTGCTGCTCTGTGCTGACTCCTGGTCAGATCGCTTCCCCACCCACACCTGCTTGCTGTCTCTCCTGTCCCCTGATCTGCCGTGGCGGATGGTGTCTCCTTTCAAGTGTCCTGTCCCAGAACAGCCCATCCAGTCTTCCCCAGGACATGCAGCATCTCATCTTCTGGAGTCCTTCAACATCCTGGCCTTGTGTCACTTGCCTCGGCTGGGCCCTTTTCTTCCTGTAACACTGTGCGGTTTTCTTGGGGGTGGGGTGGGTAAGGGTCTATTTCAATCCTTCCTTCCCTCCTTCCAGAGCTTTCCCATGTTGTCTTGAGCTTTTGTCCACTTCTTCTAGTCAGTCATGAGATGTTGGTAGCCTGGAGAGCACAGGCCACCTGCAGTTGTGGCTGGCTGGGTTGGAGGCCTCTTGCAAAACAACTTCCTTGCTATCAAAAAAATGGAAAAGAAAACCAAGTGTTGGGGAGGATGTGGAGAAGGTAGAACCCTCCCCCACTGCTGGCAGGAATGTAAAGTGGGGCAGGCCCTGTGGAAGACAGTTTGGCAGGTCCTCAAAAAGTTAAAACTGAGAGTGACCCTCTGACCAGTCCCACTCTATGGTGTAGACCCAAGAGAACTGAAATCCAGAGCTCAAACAGGCCCGTGTGCATGCATGTTCATGGTAGCCCCGTTCAGGGTGGGGCTAGAGACAACCCAGGTGCCCATCAGTGGATAAAAGGGTAAACAAAATGTTGTCTCTCCAAGAAGTGGAGTATGATTCAGCCATAAAAGGAATGAAGCCCTGACACACACTCCAACATGGATGCACCTTGGGGACATTGTGCTGAGTGAGAGAAGCCAGACACGAAAGGCCACCATTGTTTAATTCCGTTTATTTGAAATGTCCAGAAAAGGCAAATCTGTAGAGATGGAGAGAGATTGGTTGCCTGGGCTGGGAGTGGTGGGAATGGGGAGTGAGTGCTAATGGATTCGGGGTCTCCTTTTGGGGGGATGAAAATGTTTTGGAACTAGACAGAGGTGGTGGCTGTACACCATTGTCAATTAATTGTATATTTTAAAATGGCAAATTTCATGTTAAGTGTATTTTATCATAATTTTAAAAACCAGCTCCTTGTTAGGGACGAGGGGGTAGGACAGGGTTTGGGTCCTGCCTGTAACAGGTAACTTGGCATGCTAAGATCCATCCGGTGACCTGCATTGAAGAGAAACGCCCTGCATATGATGTCCCTCTCCCCCTCCTCCCCGCCAGGGCACCCACTGAGCTCAGGGAGCAGGTGCCCAAGCCCCTGGCAAGGAAGGGCTTGACCAGAAGGCCAGTAACAAACGGGAAAATGTGTATCACTTAGTGTCAGATGAAAAAGCAGTAGGGAATTATGCATAGGCTCTGATTCCAAAAACTTTGGCCAAATTAACAAGGGTCTTGGTAAGACTATGAGGAGACAATGTGGGGAAGGGAAAGCAGGTGGACTGATGAGGGTGGTGGCACTGGGGCACACTGTTTCCTCTCCTTGGACACATCTTCCCCTTACTTGTAATAAACCCCTGAGTCAGGTGGGGAGGCGCTAGGACTGCAAGTCTGGCTTTGAGAAGGCAAACAATGAACAGGTGACTGCTGGCTTTCATCTCCAGAGAGACGGCTGACTGCACAGAACGTGAGCAGAGGCCGCCCGCAAGTTCTTAAAATAGCGCCCTCAGCAAGCTGCTCAGGCCCTGGGAAGGTGGGAAATTCAGGCTCTGGCACGATGCGGAGTGGGTGCTGATGGTGGCCGCCAGGAATTCATTAGCAGCATCTTGCCTCCTCCAGACGGAGCCAGGAGAGGAGTGTGTCTCAGAGGCAGAGAAGGTGGCCATGGATCTCAAGGACCCCAACCGCCCCCGATTCACACTGCAGGAGCTGCGGGACGTGCTGCACGAAAGGAACGAGCTCAAGTCCAAGGTGTTTTTATTGCAGGAGGAGCTGGCATACTATAAGAGGTGCGTGTCTGTGAGCTCCCAAGCTGCCTCCTTTCTGGGGTCGTGCAGTTTGGGGATGGTTAGTTCCTGGAAGACAAGGATTGCATCTTTATCATCTTGTAAGTGGCCTGAAGTACTTACAAGCTCGCAGTCCCTTTCTGAAACTCTTGGGGCCAGCTGCAGTTTATAATTGAGAACTTCCCAGCTGTTCAAAAGGAATATTACCATACTAGGTACTGCCTTGGTATAGCACCAGCAAGGTCTGGGACAGCTCCCCAAAATCAAACACATTAATATTTTTGTGGTGAAAGAGAAAAACGTTCATACTAAAATTCAGTCCATGACCAATGAACTCTTTGCACATAATAGAGCTGCACTGTCCAGATACGGTAGCTGGTAGCCATGTGGCTATTTAAATTTAAATTTAAATTAATATTAAAATAATATTAAAATATAAAATTAAATTAAAATAATATTAAATTTAAAATAATAATTTAAATTAAAATTAAATGAGTTAAATTAAAATTTAAAGTTCAGTTCCTTAGTTGCACTCGCAACTTTTCAAGTGCTCAGTTGGCACTTGTGGCTAATGACTGACAAAATGGACAACACAGATAGGGTATATTTGCATCATCGTGGAACAGTCTGTGGACAGTGCCGCTCCCGTCCTAGACCCCGTCTCATACCATGCCACCTCATACTCGTCCAGCTTTGTACACACTGCCCTTCAGTTGGTTCCTCAAAACACACCACACTTGTTTCTACCTCAGGACCTTCGTACATGGTGCTTCTGCAGCTGGGAAACCATTCCCCTTGGCTCTTACCATGGTTGACTCCTGGTCATTCAGGGTTCAGGTCAGATGTCACCTTCTCAGAAAGGCCTTCTTTCCCCACTACCACCCATTCAGAAGAGAACCTGGTGCCAGTCACTGTCACTTTGCCAAGGTTTACTTTCTTCAGGGCCCTTTATACATTCTCACATGAGTCCTGTTCATTAATGTGCTACTTTATCATCTGTTTCCATACCGAACTGTAACCACATGAAACCAGAAGCCTTATTTGTCTTGTTCATGGCTAAGTTCCCAACACTGAGAACAGAGCTTAGCACAGAATAGATGCACAACAAATATGTATTGAATAGAAAACTGGAAAGAAAGACAGATGCACCAGATGTGGTCCCTGCTCCAAGAGGGAAGATAAGAAATGTTTAGGAAATATAATACCATATATTTTTATAAGAAAACTATAGATGCTGTGTGCACTGGCTCTTCAAAGAAGGTAGAGACCACTTGGGGATGGGGTAGAAATCAGGAAGGCTTCATGGAGGAGGTGGTATTTGATGCCATCCCTAAAGGATAAGGTACCATTCAGGTATGGGAGGTGTTGTGGGGTGGATGACATATTCCAAATGGAAGAAACCACAAAGGTATGGGGACAAGCATTTGGCAAGGACAGGAAACAGGAAATTCTATTGGGCTTGAATCTTCAAAGAAAATTGAAAATTGAGATGTGGGTTCCTTTTCCTAAAATTCCTCACATTTGACCAACAGGTACCTGTCCACTGCCTCCAAGGCTAACCCTTCCTCTTAACCAGCCATGCCCATCACTTAGAGTCCAGCCCCCTAGGCAGAGAGATTATTGGGGCAGAGGCCACTGTTACTGCCTCACTCCCCTGAAAAAGTACAAGTCCTCCCAGACTATCAGAAAGTAACCTTCTGGAATTTTCCAGCTCTCAGGGAATTTTTTACTTTTATCTCACACCTCTCAACTTCTTCCAGTGAAGAGATAGAAGAGGAAAACCGAATACCCCAACCTGCACCCATCGTTCACCAGAGAATGTCCCCCCAGCCGGAGTCTGGGATCAAACGACTGTAAGTGATGTGCTTCAGGAGTGTGGGGCTGCTCGCTCACGACTGACCTGGTGGTTCCAGGGCCTCTCACTTCTGGGCACCTGCTCCAGGGCCAGGCTTATCACTAAGCACCTACTTAGTTGGGCCTCACCCTGGGGCATGTTGGGCCTGGCCCTTGACTCTGAGTTCACCTCTGTACCTGAGTGCTGCTGTCCACCTGGGGTCCCTGGACAGAGAGGTTCGGGGAAGCCTGAGAGGTGGGCAGGGGGCGGGGCCTGTGGCTGATGCTCAGGGCTTGCTTGAGGGTATCAGGTGGGGTGTGTCTCTGGGCAGCAAATAACACTGGTTAGGGAGATTCACAAATCTTAAGGGCTTGAAACCCCAGCTCTGAGATGTCTGGAATGGGCCCAGGTCCACCGCATCTTTGTGTTTTTGTGATAATTCATCCACCAACCCTTCCTGTGCATTAAGTACTTACTGTTGCCTAATATATGCAGTCAGGAGGAACCTAGTTGCAGGAGAAAGAGGAACCTAGTTTTGCCCTCAACTAGACTTCAGGCTACATCAGTGGTTCTTGGTGTCAGAAGACCCCTTTGAGATTCTCAATTCTCAGTGAGATGAGAGTTTGCAGATCTTTTCCTTGGGAAAAGAAAAAAAATACAGTCTTGCATATAATTTCTGGTTCATTGACCTCTGTAGCCCTTCAGATTAAGGGGTAAAACCTCGGGTCAAATTAGCTAATATCTCCTAAGAACATACTGTGGGCCAGGTGCTGCCCATACAGATTCTCAGAGTCCTCACCAGAGCCCTGGAGTGTCGGGCTGCTCACTCACAGCTGACCTGAGATGAAAGCACTGATGTTCCCATTTACAGTTAAGGAAATAGGCAGCTGCTTAGGGTCATTCAGTTAGTAAAACACAGAGCCAGCGTTCTTTGCCATATTCTACCCTTTGCAGGAGGGCCTCAGGCTCACACTGTTGTCTTGCAGTTTGTAATCCCCCCCAGGAGGGTCTTCCTAGCTCTTCACCTTCCAGCTCTACCCAAGGTTTATTACAGAAGAGGTGGGTTCTTTCCCTCAAGCCCCAGCGATAGTTTTATGGGTTGAAAAACCACCAGGTAAGTGGGGAGAGGAATCAGGGTGTTAACTCAGATGCATCAACCCTGTAAGTCCCATTATGTTTGGAAACTCCTGGCTGGTTCTCTTCACGTGAATTGGTAAGTTTGCTCCGCATTGGTGAATGGAAATGGCTGCAAAATGTGTGTAGCCTTGTAACTGCTGGACCCTCCAGTCTTGGAAAGGGTGGCTTGTTCAGATTCTGGGCCCTAGTGGCCAAGGGAAAAGCTAGCTGCCCTTTGGAATGTGTGGGTTAGCATGGGGCTTTTTTCTAAGCCTCTCTTGCCAGCTTCACGTTGCATATTTGCTTGGCCTTTGATCTCTGCTGAATTTGGAAGGGGGTATGGTCCCCAGTTCAGGTTCGGTATAAATTTTTCCTAGGGGTGCAGGTTAGAACCATAAAGACTTCCTCCCAACCACAACACTGTTTTGGCCACTTATTAGTAATCTTCCATTGGCAATTGAAACTCAACTCAAGGTAACTTAAGAAGAAAGAAAAACTGTTGGCCAAGTAACCAGAAATTCCCAAGTCACCGCTGGATCCAGGCCTTGCCATCAGGGCTCTGTCTCATGCCCTCCGCCTCTGACAGTTTCCTTTTTGTGGAGGGTGGCAGTGTGCTGCCTTCAGCTCAAGCTTCCACTTTGTCTGAAACTCTGGTGGCACAGAAGTTGCAAAGCTGGGTCGCAGTGTGCCTGGGCCGCAAGGCCACACTTTGGGCCATCAGGGCAGTGCATCGCATCCTCCCATGTGGGTCTCTCATTCTCATGCTTGAATTTACAGTAGCTTTAACTCCACCGGTTACCATGCACTGAAATTAGGGGAAAGATAGGCCCCGAGCAAGGTCAGAGTGCTAGGCCAACAGAAGCCTCATCTTGGGGCTGAGTGAACCCTTCGGTCTGGAGTCTGTGATGTGCTCAGTACCAGGAATGCCTCTTATCTTGGTTAGGGTTTCTCATCCAGGGCTTGGTAAGAAGTGGGATGGCTTCTCTTAAGTCTGATCCATCCCCAGGTAAGGATGAGCGGAATAGATCTTGGGTTTTGGGGTAAAACCTGGGGAACCTGAGAAAGAGTTTACAAGCCCCTCCCACCCAGTCCCTCCCTGGGCTGGGGGAGGGGCGAGACCAGGTGACCAGCCTCTCCTTCCTCCCGTTCATTCCTGGGTCCGTCCGTAAAAATCAGACCTTCCTAGTAGCATCTTCACTCTGCTGCCATAACAGGGCCTCAAGCACTGGGATTCCAGGTCTCAGGGTTACAAGCATGCCTCCTGAAGCTGGGCTGTTCTGACTTTGTAGTTTTCCATTCCATCCCCCTTTTCTCTAAAACAGGTAATTAAGTGTTGACTTTTTCAAATCTCAAACTGAATAAAATCCAGAGGAAAGTTCTCAGGATTAGTCAACAATCTTCTTTCCATCAGTTCTTCTACCTACACCTAAGTAGGTTGTGGTATCTGATCCTCTTTTCCAGGTAGTTCCAGAAATGACCCTGGGGCCCCATTTTCAAAACCTTTTTCCTCTTTAGTGTGACCCCCAGTTGCTCAGCAAGACCTGGGTCTCAGCCTGGCAGGAGAAGCGTCTGGAATTGTTAGGGGAGCATTGTGTATTTTCCTCCATTCTTGTCCCCGCCACAACAAAGAATTGAAGGGCAGAGACACAGTAGTGAAGCAGAGTAAAAGTTTTATTTAAAGTTACTTAAAGAGAGAGAAAGTGCAGGCGACCTCAGAGAGAGGAGCCTTTAAGGGTTTAGGGTCTGGGGCTTTATAGGCGGTTGAGGACTTTCAGGAATGCGACAAAGGCCCAGGTGCGGACTGGCCAAATTGTCCCAGGATGTTCAACTTTGCTAAGAAATTAAGTTTTTTTCTCTTTTTTTTTTAACTTAACATAAGAATATACTGCTTTGATTCCTTTCCAGGATATCAGCTTCTGTCTGGAAGCATATCAGTCAAGACTGTCTGCCCTGCCTCCAAAGGTGGGCTGAGCCACTGTCCGTTTGATTAAAATGCAATCTTAGCTTTAAGATAGAATTCTTCCTGAATAAGCTGGGCCCTTCAGCAGGTGCTAAAGTGAATCTTACAATGGTATGTTCTAATTGACACAGTGAAAACACAGGCTATGCTGAGGTACTTTTCTTCATCTGGGGAGTATTCAAACTTCTAGGCCAAGTTGCTCCTGGCCTTCTGAGCTTTCTATTTTTAGCTGGTTAACTCTTTTGAGTCCCTTCTAGTGGGCTCTACTGGCCTTATTCTCTTTCCATCCCATTCATTTCTATTTTCCTGCCTAACAGAATTGGGGAGCCAGAGACACAGACAGACTGAAAGAGAGAGAAAATCAGACTCTCCTGTCCATGGAGGGCAGGTGGCTAATTCATGCCACCCTGGCCTTCTAGGGGATAGCTGCATCTTAACAAAACACTGGTTGCCTTTGTCCACCTCGTCTGCTGGCTGGAAGCTGCATCACTGTAGCCCAAGAGCCCAGATCCTCAGGCAGGGAAGGGCCTCTCTTAAGAGGGTTCCACACCTCTCCCTCTTTCCATCCTTCACTCCTTTGGCACCCACCTGGGCCTGTCTGGTCCCTTCGTCCTTGCTTTTGTGGAGTATCAGTCACATAGCCTCTTGATTGCAACTCACTGCTACTTCCCAGCTCAGCTTCCTGCTCTGGACCAGGTTTCCCCACCTACCAACAAGTAAGCGTTAACTACCACGGAGGTTTGAAAGGGCTTCACTGGCTTAGAGCACCAGAACTGAGGTATCTTCCACCCTGTCATGGATTCAGAGCTGGGACAATTAGCCCCATTTCTCAGATTAGGAAATGGGCTAGAGAAGCCCATTTAGATGATACTGCTAGGAAGGATCAAAGATGGGGATTTGAACCCAGGCCTTTTGTCTGCTGCCCCACCCAGTGCTTGCCCCAGCTGCCTTCCCCACCCCTCTTCTTGTCCCACTCTCCAAGTCACCAGCTGTGGGCTGACTGCCCAGTTCTCTTATCTCTCAAATGTACCACGAGCTAGAGATGCCAGAGTCTATATTTCTGGGCTGATCTGGTCAAGAGAACCAGAAACTCCTGCCACTAGTCAAAACAGTGTGCCCACAAGATGTTCCAAGAATAGCTTGTGATTGAGCAGCTGCTGACCGAAGAGATTGGCACTGCCTGGGAGGGTCACGAGGGGGTGCCTGAGTCGTCCCCAGTGGATGCCAGGCACCAGGGCCCCCTTTGTGAGGTCTCCTGGCTCAGTCATGGTCCCGCAGATGCACACGCAGCTGCGTTCTGCTAAGCAGGGGCAGAGGGGCTGAGCAGGGAGGCAGGAGGCAGGCAGTGGGTGCAGAGGGACAGCCGGGGAGGCTTCAGATCAGAATAGCCAGTCTCACACACCGGAAAGGTTGGCCTTGGAGTAGGCGGCCACCCCAGTATCGAACAGTAACAGCAACAGTGCATTCTGTCCCTGTCCTCCTACCCACCACCCTCCTCACTTTGGCCCAGAAATAGCTTCTTCACATCCGCCCATTCCACTGCTTGAAATGCCACTGTTAAAACTTCATCTGATTTGAGTCTTCCAGAAATATTTGGTAGGGAGGGGGTAGTTAAAACCAGTTACACTGTATCCAGGACATAAACTTTTGACCAAACCTGGCCAGTGTTCTTTCTTGGAAGTGGCTATTCCTCTAGAGGTGGCTTCTGCAGGGAGGCATCTGCAAAGGGAGGGAGGGGACCATCCACTCAGTGAGACAGAGAGTAACTCAGCTGGAGCCTCCAGGAGTCCTGGGGCCCCTCTGCACCAGCCTGGTCTCTGTCCAGGCAACAAATGAAATCCAGCATTTCCAGGTGGGCAGACAGCTCTCCAAGTAAAATGCCCACCCTGCGTCTGGAGCAATCTCATACAATGACTGCATCTGTGGGGGCCCCCTGTGATGCTAAGAAAGGGGTCCTGGCAATGGTAAGTGCAGAACCATGTGGCTTAGAGCCCCTGGAAAGCTACCTGTGCCTCATAGCCTGGTCTCTGGGGATGGGGCCCATTAATTTAGCAAAAGATGTCCCCTTCTTCTCATTGTCATTATGAGAAGCCATTCAGGTTCCAAGATGTCAACCCCCAGCTACTCTGTAAAGAGTAGCAAAGGTGATGCAAAAACACAAAGAATCCACAAACCTCATTTGAAGTCATTTTGTATCTTTTCCCAGCCAACACCTAAAACAAACAAAAAAGATCAAGGATGTTCAAAATAAGCTCTGGTGGCTTGGTTGGAGTTTCTTCATTTTCCTTGCCCAGCCCAATGGACAGAGATGAGCATTCACCGTTGGCTCTGACTTAACAGAAATGTTTCGTCTGTCACTTCCGGAGGCTAGGAGTCTAAGCTCGAAGGCCGGTGGCAGGGCCGGCTCCTTCTGAGGGCCCTGAGGGAGACTGTTCCATGCCTCTCCTGTAGCTTCTGTGGTTTGCTGGCCGTCCTTGGCCATAGCAGGCTTGTATACTCATCACCCTGATCTCTGCCTTCATGTTCACATTGCCGTGTTCCTGTGTGCATGTTTGTTCCCAAATTTCCCCATCTATAAGGACCCACCCTACCCAACTATAGCTTCATCTTAACTAGTCACATCTACAAGGAGCCTGTCTCCAAGGAAGGTCACATTCTGAGGTGCTGAGGGTTAGGACTTCAGCATGAGAAATCTGGGGCGGGCATAGTTCTACCCTTAACATATACCATAAGTAAACCCTTCGGCTGGTCTGTGTGTGGAGTGTGTTTATTTTTCATGCCTCCCTCCCCTGTTTTTATTTTCTCTGTGTCTGTCTGTACTTTCTAACCAGGATCTTTACAGCCATAATGCCCATGGTAGCAGCTGGATTGATAATAGATGACCCCACCCTGCAGCCTGTCCGACGACTTGTTTCCCTTGTAGGCATTGTGTTTTTCTGGTTTCGTTTTGGAGTGTCTGCTGTGGCTGCTGCTTGGGCTGGCCAGTCCTCTTCGGCCACTTAGCTGCATGGCCATTGCCTGCACACTCCCATATGAAGTGGGTGTCAAGTGTGATTTCAAACATGCCATTCATGGCACTCAGTCTGCACAAGCAAGGCTTGGAATTCTCAGCTCTGTCACCGATAATTCTTTTTGTCTTTTCTGTTTTCATTCTAAAACCACCTTGTCCATGATCCAGTAAAGAAGGTCCTTTAAATGACGGGTCAGTAATCAACACCCACTGTAACTGCCCCCCACTGAGTGACACTAACGCTGTGTTAGATGCCCTAGCTTTCTAAACTGCTTTGTTTTGCCATCATCAACAAGCCGTTTGATCTTGTTAAAAAAGGAAAAGCAGAGGAGGGGCTGATGCTTTGATTCTCTCTGTGTCCCCTTTGACAGGAATTGGCAAGTGGCTTTCCTGCTTACTTGAGTCAGGCAGAGATGGAATGTAACAGTGACGTGTTTTTGCTGTATTTTTGGGCAGTTAATTGCCCTGATGACACTATGGAAAGAGTTCACACATAGCCCAGTATGAACGTTGTGCCTTCATTTGCCAGTATTTATTGTAGAGAAAAGAGACCAGCTAGTAGGGAGAATTTCTCCAGATAAACTTGGCTTGCTCCAGCTTTACAATAAAAGACCACTTTTATTCCTCATAGGAAGTTACTGTAGGATCCAGAGCCACAGAATAGTAAGATCATTTTTACCCAGATGAGATTATAACTGAACTCCATAGACCACAGCACTTAAAAAAATAAGAGAACTCACAGGTGACAGACAGAAGGAACTAAAAATAGTTGAGGTGAAGCTTTGATTTCTTAATGATTCACACCTTTTCCTGCCCCTGAGAAATATAACATAGCTACTATGTCTCTTACCAAGTTCAGAAACCAAAATCCAAAAGTAGGAGACCTTGGGAGAATAGAAGGAGTCTTATTAGAGCCTGGGAGTATCAATGGACAGTTGTACCTTAGAAAGGGTTTTTGGGAAATACTCAGGTTTGCCAACTCAAGCTACTGGCCAGGATTACTGTCTCTGTTTGGGTGGAGTTCCAACACACCTTGTTTCAAATGGGCCACTTACAAGCTTTTTGCCTGTGATTTCTACCCTTATCTTATAGGCATCAGATCGTTCACTCTGAATGATCAATGAGCAATTGCCACAGCTGTTTTTAAAAGACCTCTTGGTCTACATTAGCTGTTGCTATGTAGCTAGCTACAGTGGTAACTTCTTAAGGCTTCCACCATTAAGTCAGTTTGTAACACTCCAAATCAGTGTTTCCCAAACTTCATTCACATACTATATTCATAGTGTTTATCGAATCAGAGAAGCATGTATACTATTACTTTCTGTATTTTTTAATTGTCTCCTTTTTCTTAGCTATTTTCACCTCTTCTTAAGCAGTAATATCCATGAAACCTGGGCCTTGATATGCTATGTGCTACTTATATAGTTTCCAGATTCCAATTAAATACAGAACTACTTAAAAAATTCATCTGTTTACATTGGAATCATCTTACATTCCACATGGCTTTCAAGTATTATTTTCTCTGCATCATTAGGGTAAAGAAACTCATGATGTATGTTTATAGCAGCTTTTTATTCCCACTAGTAATGAGAGGAAACCCTCAGTGGTGGTTAAGGTAGGAGATGAGATTCATCACACATCACATACATACACACACTGTTCACACTGTGTTACACCGAGGAACCATTGACAGTGACATGCAGAATCCCCTGCTGCTTTCTAAAGTAACTTTGACCTGCACCCCCAACTTTTTCTTTCCCAACTTGAGTTGATCTGCTCCCTTCCATGTTTGCTGCTGTATGTCCCTGGCATTGCAAAATCTCTGAAGTGCAAAGCCAAGAACAGGCTCTCATTTCTTTCTTTCCCTTCCAAAAGGTTTAGCTTCTTCTCCCGAGATAAGAAGCGCCTGGCTAACATGCAGCGAAATGTGCACATCCAGGAGTCCTTTGGCCAATGGGCCAACTCCCGCCATGATGACAGTTACACGGAGCAAGGAGAGGAAGCCCTGCAGCATCTGTGACTGTGGCCCACCTCTGCCCTTGGACCTGAACCAGCCAGTGCCTGCAACCAAACCTGGAAGCCCCAGCTGTTACTACCTTGCACACCTCTTGGTTCAGACGCACCTTCAAAACTGGTCCCTCAAACAGACTGTCTGCTTTGAGGAAGAACATTGAAAAACTGATGCCAAACCCTAAAGAAATGTTTATTTATACCCAAGGCTATCACTGTTTATAATAGATGACTGATCTCTTAGGATATATATTTAATAATACCATGAGCAGAGGACAGACTTTTGCATTAACTTCGGTAACACAAGCTTCTTTATGCCAAATACATGACTTGTCACTATAATTGCTGTTTGACTTGCTTTGTATGAAATTCTGTGTGTAGAAGTTTTATTATCAGATTTGTCATGCTACAACAGGAGGCAGGTAATTGGTAGATTTTCATCAGTTACATTCGTGAAATTGTCACAGTGGTAGTATAATATATAGGATGCATCGAATAGACAAGCAGGGCCTCCAAAGTCACAGGTCAGGCTAGCTGAGCTCAAACACAAAATAAATGTGTTCAAGGATAGTGCCTTGGAATCAGCCGTGAGTAATGCAGTACTGACCAAACAAAGTTGCCAAGGATGAAACATTGCCATGTTTCTCATTTCTTCTGTGGATTTTTTTTCTGGACATCTGTTTTCCTTTTAGACTTCATTATGTCAAATTTTTAGTCCTCTGTGAAGAAGATAAATGATTCTAAAGTGGGTTGGGAATGAGTACAGGAGACTAAAAGATGTGGGATGGAGGGGGAACTTGCCAGAGGGAGGGCAGAGGGTGCAAGATGGTTTGGGAACCTCATGTCTGACTGACTCTAGGAGTTGTGGGGCAGACTGAGAGCCACACGCCCTGTCTGCAACTGGCAAGTTGGGCATCTGCCCTAATAACACTATCTGTCACCCACAGAGCACCCAGGGCCCAAGGCTGGGTGCTCACAGATTGAGAGAGGCAGCACTTCCTAACAGAGCACTTGAGTACAGTTGGGGTTGCTTTCTACCCATTCCACTATGGTTTGCTAAAGAAATCATCACATCAAATTACAGAGTCTACACAGACTCTGTTCCCAGATTGCTGAAAATAATGATCAGACAGGATAATGCTGCTTTACAGCAGTCACTCTCAAAACCTATTAGAACTACTAGTTTATTCTCAGAGTATAAAAGCATGTATAGTGAGGAACACCCCCCAAACCTTTAGCTGCCTTTCCCAAGGAGTAACCAATGTATCCAGTTTCTTCTGTGTCTTTGCTGAGATGGTTTATATACATGCAATTATATAAAGAAAAAAAAACGTAGAAATAGTTCCATTCTCTTTTTTCATAAATGGCACCATACTATATACATGCTATTTTGCACTGTTCTTAGAATACCCTGGACCTAACGTTGTCCACAACAGTACATAAAACAGTGGGTCTTAATGGGCAATTTTGCCCCCCCAGGGACATCTGGCAATGTCTGGAAATATCTTTGGTTGGGGGGTGCTACTGTCATTGAGGGAGTAGGTTCCAGAGGTGTTGCTAAACATTCACAGCCCCCACAGCAAAGAATCCTCCACCCCAAATGTCACAGTGCCAAGGCTGAGAACCCTGGCCTACCATATAGATGTATAGTGTTTGTGTTTGTCCAGGCTGCACTGATGGTCAAGTAGCTTCCTTCCAATGTGACTATCTAAAACTACTGTACACTTTCACACATGTGCATCGGTCTGCAGAATAAACTAGAAGCAATTACTGGGTCAGAGGATGTAAGCTTTGGTCATGTTGATGGTAACTGCTAAATTCCCTGCCTTGGAGGTTCTATCAATTTTTTAGTTACCAGGGCCCGTACAAAACCAGGCCTGAATATACAGGGATAGGGTCTGACCGTGCATATTTTTTAATCCACCCATGTTCTGATACCCAGGTAGACTAAACACTGCAACTAGATTTGTTTCTTCTGATACTATCTCACAATACATGCTTCCCTGATGTGCAGCACTCGTTTAAAGACCCTGCCAACTCTAGCACATAACACACACATTTGGTGCCATATTAAGGAGCACTGTGTAAGCGAAATGAGGGTGGAATCAGAAAGGTGTTGCTGCAAGGCTGTTTTCTGAGGATTGGGAGATAAATTCTGCACTAGAAATAGACGAAGGAAATTTTCATTTTTCTGTTAACAGCTGACCACATTTTAAAAATATGTAGCAGGTTCCCTAAGTAGCATTCATACTAATGCAAAAACCTAGTATTGAGTGTGTGAGTCTTGATACTAAATCAGACATTTATTTTGCATGAAACATCTTGAATTTTAAGAACCTGAACTTTCAAAGATACAGTCATTGATAGAACAAAAATGCTAAGCGTTGCTCTTCAAAAAAACCACGTGAACAGTACAGTACTAACTCAAAAGTCATCAGGAGTTAAGGGCAATGTATCTAGCTCTTAAATGAGAGGCCAGATGATCAAAAGGGAAAAGACAAATCAATTCCATCAGAACCAGATACAAACTTTTTACTGATTTCATTTTTTTAATCACTTCTTTTGAGCTTTATCTTTTCAAAGGGCTGGAATATTGCCACAGATCACAACCCCAGAGCCCAGCAACTGGTTTTTCATTTCAAATGCCAGCCTCCTCACCAAAAAAGGAAAGCCAAGCCCTCAAAATGGTCATTTCCAATAGATGGCACAAAATCAAATTCTCAAAACAAACAAATTCTCTACTAGCAAATTAAATGAGAACGATGGCCCCTTACACATGTCCTTCAGTACAGATGCTGGCAAGTACAAAATTGTTTCTCAAATTTATTAAATAACATGAACTTATTTAATAAGCTTAGAACACAAGATGAAGAGAAATTTGCAATACCAGCGTGTTCAGCTTGAACCTGGGCTCCAGACTGGAAAGAAAACTTACTCTAAAACCCATTATCAGTTTTATTCAAGCATTGAACTTATGCTTCATATAAAGGCAATGCAGGTCTGTGTGTGTGTGTGTACTTACTATGTATCTTCGTTGGGAGTCTGGTGGTGATGGTGAACCTCTACTTACTTCTGTCCCTCTTCTCCCTCCCCTTGGCCCTGTCGTCTCTGAAGTTTCTCTCTCTCTCCCAGTCACTTTCAGGCCACACTCTGGCAGGCTCTCTTTCCTGCCATCTCTTCCGGCCCCGGTCATGGTTTCGGTCCCTTGTCCTCGAGTCCCAGTGTCTTTCTCGGGATCGAGATCGTTCCCTCTTTTCCCTTCGTCCCTCTCTATATTGGTCATTTTTAACAACTGATAAATTAATGGGTTTTCGAAAAGGCCGATCCCGCCCCCCAAATCTCAGCTGCCCAGATTCTTTTTTCCCTCCCAGACCTCCTCCGAGTCGTCGGGGAATCCACCCTTTGAGAGTTCTTTCCAGTTCATAGTCCACAAATATCTCATGTTGGTCAATAACCAGGCCGTCTGCATCTCGGTAAGCTTTGATCAGAGACCGCTCTTCTTTGTATTCGATGAAGGCATAGCCCTTCGAAAAGCCAGTGACCAAGTCCCTCACCAGCCGAAGTCGCCGGATATCCCCATAGCGGGAAAACACTTCCTTTAACTTCTCCTCTTTGGTCTGCAGGTTTAGTCTTGCCACAAACAGGGTGAGGAGGGGGTCTCCTGTGACACCTTTGTTGGGTGTGTATCGTGACAACATTGCCCTCCAGACTGCACGATCATGGGGGTCTTCATCAGTGCCATCAATGCTGCCAGCTTTAAGCGGGTCATACTCCTTGGCAATGGGCATCCAATCATTCATGTTCTGGGAAGGAGCATAGCAAGTATTTAGGTAGCACCTACTATGAACCATTCATTTAATCATTACAACAGCCCCAGGAAGTACTTGCTATTTCATCCTTTCTTCAAAAGGGAAAGAAGCAGATTCCCAGAGGCTGAGGTCTCCCAGCTAGAAAGCAGGGGAGACAGCATGAAAGCCAGGCAGTGGGACTCTGAGATGCTCTTACCCAACCCCCCACCCTCCTTCCCAGGAAGCAGCAGATGGCAACATGCTTGGTCACCCATCTTATCCATGGCAGGGCACTTACCAACTGCGTTTATAACTCGGCAACACATCAAAATCCAGGCTCGCCTTTCAGAGACTTTAAAATGGTCACAGGAAAACCAGACTGAGAACTGCTATGGAAATTGTGTTTTTTAAAACTCTTTACTAGCAAGATTTTCAAACATGTACCACTGTAGAAAATGGCATAACCCTCAGCCGACTGCCACTGTGACCAACATGTGGCCAGTCTTGTTTCATCGGTGTCCCCTCAGTCCCTGCTCCTGGGCTACATTGAAAGACATCTCAGATATTACATGGTCATATGCAGATATTACAGTATGTGTCACTAAAAGATAAGAACTATTTTAAAAACAAAACTATAAGGTAAAATGAAGCTTGGATGCAGCATTTTGCATCTGTCTCATGTAGCAGAACTAAAACTACAGTGACCCAGCAGCAAGCTCTTTGGTTCAAAAGGAATATGGGATTTCTTGCCAATTTCCTAGCTGATAATCCATTTATACCTTGGAGCATGAGAATTTCTTGCAATGGTAATTTTAGCCCAGCAAGCACACTGCAATTGTCATTCATTCTGATACATGGTACATTTTTATTGATAGATGGTGGGAAAGTTCAGAGGAGAGGCTGATACATGAAGACAGATTGACATGCATCTGCTGGTATAATACAGTGCTTGCCAACACTTCAGACATGGCTAATGCTCATGTAAAGCTTTAAAGCCAGTGCTGAAATGTATTATTTAAAAAACAGGCTGTGTTGAATTTATATGGTAATCCTCACTCCTAATAGCATCTTTCTGTGATATTTATTAAAATATTTATAATTTTTCCCCTCTTTTGCAGATTTTCCTCAAGAATCTTTTTGCTTTTGTTTTTCAGTTGATGGGTTATATAGAGGGGAGTGACTGTTTATGGGAGTGCACTGTGGAATTTTTTTTCCTCAGTAAAAAAGCCAAACACCTACAGAATAAAATCCAAACCGATGGCATGGCACTCAGGACCTCTGAGCCTCGCTTACCTTCTCACCATATCCCAACTGCAAAACCTCTTTTGCCCAGGATTATTTCTCATTCCTTGAATGTGCCCTAATTCCCCAGCTCCATGCTTTCCTGGTGCAATTTCCTCTCCTGGGACTATTCTCTTCCTTACAACCTCCCATGATCACATTCTGGCCAACACACAGTAAGCACTTCAATCTAGTGTCTGCCTCACTTTATCTCCAGATTCTAGGACACTTCCTGTTAAATACTGGGCAGCTGAAACAACTTCAGTAAAAAATTCACTGACTTTTTTTCCAAATCAGACAAAAAGGACAACTTTATTGATAGCTGAGAGGCAGGACATCATGCTGTCTGCCACCAAATTGTAAAAGGAGGGCATATGTGTGTCATTAATAAGCAACTCTGGAGGAGACTCCTCTTTGGTAGCCTTAGTAGTGAAAAGTTATTAACAGCTGGAGGGAGACAACTGCATCCCAGTCTGGGCTCTGCCTCTAACTCACTTTGTGTCTTTTCTCTCTCTGGCTGGAATTTCTCCACGTGAAAAAAAATGAGAAAGTGCTATGTTGTCTGACTCTCACTCCCTGCTCTAGTAGTCTCTGTATTGATTCCATTGTATGGGCCTTGAAATTCTAGATCTTACTCCCAACCTCCATTTACAGGGTTACAGGGGGGAAAAACAAGGACCATAATAATTAGGTTTAACTACTGAACACTTTGGAGGTGCGAGGCACTGTGCTAAGCATTTAACATGCCCCATCTGTGAACACTACAAGGACGTAAGTTCTCTTATTGCTGTTTCAGATGAGGAATGTGAGATGCAAAGTGGTTGTTTTTTGCCCCAAATCACAAAGCTAAGTAGTCCAGCCAGGGAGTTAGAATCAAGGGCTTTTCTGACTCCAGAACTTAAGCTCTTAACTCTTTCTTTGGATGCCTATCATAAAATACCAAACTTAAGAGATGGGATAGAAAAAAAACCCACCAGGATTCTGGGTTTTGAAGCTGAGACACCCCAAGGAATCCCTTCCTTATTCTACAGGAAAAGGACACAAAGATCCACCAAATAAAACTGCTATTGTACATAAAGCTCCTGTTGAAAGCTTTAAGAGTTCTTCAATTTACAACCTGAAGAGAAATACAAAGAGATAAGCATGGATTTTCTGTTATCTCCATCATCTGTACGATTCTATCAATACTAAATGCCAAAAGAACAGCGGATTTCATGGCTTCTCATTAATTTCTAGGTGTAGAAATTAGTAACTGGGATAACTGTTTTGCCTGCACTTGCAAAGAATGTATATTCTTTCTCGTTAATCTCTTCTGTTGCAGCATTATGTTGAAATTCCCATAAATTCTTTGGGTACTTTGATTCATGTCATAATATCATAAATGGGGATGATATGTGAGAGATGAATGGAGGGGGTGGAGGTAAATAGGCAGTTAACCATTAGAGACAAAAGTGTGGAAAGTGTAAGAGAACTGGACGGGGAGTCATAACGTCAGGTTTAAGACCTAGTCCTATCTTGATTTAAATTTATTCAAATTATTAGGCACAATTTACATCGGGTGTAATATGTAGCTGTCACTCTATGAAAGCGCTTTATAATTATAATTATTGTAAAAATAAAGGATATTATTATTAAATAAACAAACAAGGCACGCCTCTCCTTACCAACTCTGCAGCTAGGACATCCCCGCTCTTCCCACCCAAGTGGGCAACAAAACTGAATTTGGCCCAAAGAGCCCTCCAGAGCATGCGCAGTGGCGCCGTGGGCGCTAAAGTGGGTCTCAGTGGGAAAGCCAATACTCCCAATGACCCGCAGCACCGCGGTACTGCCTTGGCCGCCGACCCTCCAGGCAGGCTCCCTAGACCCCTCACCTTCTGGGTGACCGCAAGGCGGAGGGGGCCAATCTTTCCCATCCTAGCTATCGACCCAGCTCCCCGCAATACAACCCCGAAAGTTCTCCCCCGTTGCCAGGTTTCAATATGGGGGCCCACACACCAGCGGACACACACTCCGGGCCGAATGCCCTTGTCCTTCTCGCCAGGGTGGGCCCTGCGCGCGGCAAACCGCCCCCACTCGCCTCACCAAAGCTCGGGTCCTTTTCCCGCGGAGACGGACGCTGGACTCGAAGCGACGGACGAGTCACTTGCCCACCTAAGCGGACCTTTACATTGAAAGAAGCAGATTCGTCACAGGCGCAGTTTTTTGTTTTTTGTTTTTTGTTTTTTTTAAGAAATTTAACCACTCGCCTTGAGCCTTGAGGGCATATCGTCTCGAAGAAAATGAGCTTTTCTTTTTTCTAACTTTTTGCACGAAGACCAAAACTGCTAAATTGAACAATCGAATTGAAAGACTATCGAATGTGCAGTTAATTGTGTGGGAACAGCTGAGTCTCTCCGTAGCTAAGGGATCTTTCCGCACGGTGGCAACTGCAGTTTTTAGACTCACTTTGAGAATCTGATTGTATCATGGTTTCCCTAGAAAATGCGAATGCCGGTTTCCGCAAAATTGTGTACGTTCTCCCAACCCCCAGATTTAAAAAATTTCCTTTACCCACAAGCAAAACAGTTTTTCAAAAAGAGCTTGGCGCCTTGGACTTTAGAATTGCTTGTTAGAATGCCATTTCCTGGTCCCCTCCGGGATCTATGACCTCTGGATCTCTGGAAATTGGCACTTTTTGCAAGTCTGCCCATGATTTGGGATGCGTACTGAAGGACCCTGACGTTAGAGGCAAGGTTTAAAAGCCCAGATTTAAAATTTGGGCGTGAACGGTAGAGAACCATGTGGTCAATACTTAGAGAAAGGATGGATGGATGCATTTTCTGACTGTTAAACGTTTCTTTTTTGATAGGTCAAAATATTCGGGTAGATTACGACTTGATTGTGTTACAACTTGAAATTTGTTGATACAACGGTTCTTAAATTTGATGACGTATGTGTTGTGATGTTCTTCAGCCACTCATGTTCTGATTAATCTTTGAGCGGGTGATTTCTGCAAACAACTGATCTCATTTTCCTTCTAATCTTTTATAGAAGGTAAGCTTATCTCTAATTGCTAAGAATGTATTACTGGTACCTAGTCTTTATTGAATCTTTATTATATAGGCAAAAGATAGGTTCTATTATAGTACTTTTCTTAAAATATTAATAGAAGTATATTATTGAGTGAAATATGAACAATATCTGTAGTTTAAAATTTTACTTAATATGTGTGTGCAGCATATACATGCAATGAGATATTATTTAGTTTTAAAAAGGAAGTAAGTTCTGGTAATTGAACAGTGGATGAATCTGGAGGACAGTATGCTAAGTGAAATAACCCGCACAAAAGGACAAATATTGTATGATTCCACTTACATAAGAGATCTAGAATAGTCAAATTCACAGAGACAGAAAATAGAATACTGGTTGGGTGTGGGTGGGTGGGGAGTTAGTGTCTATGGGTGCAGAGGTTCTTTTTGGGGTGATGAAAAAGTTCTGGAGATGGTGGTGATATTTACACAACGTTGTGAATGTATTTAATGTCACTGAACTAATCTCAAGAATGTTAAAATGGCAAATTTTATGTTATGTATAATTTAACCACAGTAAAAGTTTTGTTAAATATGTGTGTGCACTCCAGTAGTAACGAGTGCAACCTAGCACCCAGATCTTGGTTTCTAATACCATTCTCTAATGAAAGTAACCAGTACTCCTTAGAGAAATAGCTAATTCTAGAACTGAGGCAAGAAATATAGAAGATGAGCTTGGAATACTTGTAGTGCCAGAAAGTAAAGAAGTACTAAAGACAAAAAACCTCACCAGTGATGATGATGTCAAAGGGATGCCAGAGCCAATTGAAGGCTCCCAATGGCCAAAACAGAACAATTTGAGCAACAAAATAAAGTAGCATTAGATTATAAGCCAAAATATAAAATAAATGTCCATGAGTCTATACTGATATAAATAAATATTAAGTAAATAAACTGGGTAGAGGAGACTAATCTCTCATGTGGAATTAAATAATTCATGTGGTTAAATCCTCTCTCAAGAAGGAGGGGCAGAAGTCCCCAGCTAGGCATAGTGACTTCCTTCCAAAGAGGACAGTATTGAAAGGGGGGAGGGAGGAGTACTTCACAGTGGAGAAACCAACAAAATTTTACCTCTATTGTGTTCCTCCCCAAAACCCATAACCCCAGTCTAATCATGAGGAAAACATCAGATAGACCCCAAGGAACATTCTAACAAAATAGATGACCAGTACTTCTCGAAACTATCAAGATCATGAAAAACAAGGAAAATTAGGAACTGTTACAACTGAGAGGAGCCTGAGGAAGTATGGCGATTAAATGTAATGTGGTGTCCAGAATGGAAAGGGACATTAGGCAAAAACTGGGGAAATGTAAATAAAGTGTAGACTTCAGTTAATGTATTGATAATTAGTTAATTAATTGTAATGAATGTACCATACTGATGTAATAATAGGGGAAACTGGGTATGTGTACTATATTCCCAGTTTTTCTCTAATCTAAAACTGTCCTAAAATTTAAAGTTCATTAAATACATTTGGGTGTGTATATTTAGAAATAAAAAAGGAGAAACTACCACTACACTAAATAGCATGGTTGAACCTCTCAGATGTAATGATGAGCAAAGAAGCTGGACTCCAAACAGTATACATTCTTGTACTTGTATGTTTCCATTTACAGGAAATTCTAGGATAGGCAAAACCAACCAATGATGATAATGGTCAAAATAGAGGTGTTCTATGGAGGGTGCTGTTCATTGGGAAAGGGCGTGAGGGAGCCTTGTGGGTGCTGGAATGTTTTATATCTTTATCTTGATGGTGGCTCTAGGATTATATATTTATGAAAAAATTCATCAAGGTGTATACTTAAATATAGTCAATAATGTAATGACTTTGATGGCAGATGCTAAACACATTTATCATGATGCGCGTTTTGTAATGTATGTAATTGTCAAATAGCTGTGTTGTACACCTGAAACTAATATATCAACTATACTTTCACTTAAAAAAATCTTGTCCACTAGCATAGTTGCAAAAATCCCAAATATAAAGGAATCAAATACAATTTGGTGATCAACATGGATTTTACCACAGGAGTGGTTCACCATGGAAATCTTACTTATGTAATTCAACACTATGTAATCATCTCAATATGTACCCAAAAAAATTAAATAAAATTCAACATCCATAAAAAAACAATGTATACTTAAGATTTGTGCACCTTAAGGTATAAGGATGTTATATCTCAGTAAAATGTAAATGTGTGTGTGTGTGTGCGCGTGTGTGTGTGAGGTTGTCTTGCCAATGGGTTTCAGCCCCGGGCAAGTTCACTATGGATTCAATGTGACCAAAGAAAATTGACCACAGAATGCTCTTTGGGGTGAAAGGGTTATACCCAGCTTTATTTCCAGGTGGCAGGTCAGTCACTAAAATCTCATTCACTCAGAGCAAGCCTGTAATGCAGCAAGCCGGTCTCTGCCTCTGGGCCCCTCTGTCCACACAGCCATCCTCTAGGCCTGTCTGCCTGCACAGCTGTCCCGCACAGTCGTCCCACACAGCCGTCCTCTGGGCCTCTGTCCTTGGCGCTGCCACCACTCCAGCCTCTGCTCTGCTCTCGTGCAGCCTTGTGGCCCTGCCACCGTGTTGCGCCCAGAGCACTGGGCAGAGTTCTTTATATAGAGTCAACAGCCATGTAGTGCCCACAAGTGTGCAGTGAGCTAGTCAACCATGGCCAGGTGAGACTCTTGACCAGAGGAACTCTCATTCTATCCACAGAGGTAAATGGAAGCATGCACCCAGAATTTCCCGCCCTATTTTCATATCTGTAGGCCACTGCAGGAGGCCCCCACTGAGGGGAAGGAGTAGAGAGAAAACTGCCATTCTCTCCTCCCATCTGTTCTTGGTAGGGGTTCCTCCCAGAAGGGGCAGATGGGGGAAGGGAGCATGCTCCAGGGAGTTAGGAGACAGATTTAGCGGGGTCTGGCCAGGAAATCCAAGCGAGCTGTGAGCAATAAGAACCCTTTCTCCTAATCTGCCCTTATCCTTGTTCTCCTTCGGTTTCAGCAGATTCATAAGGAACTTGGCCATGGAGGGAACCCCCTTACTCCCAAAGCTATAGTGTGTGAGAGTACTATGTGTTCACATGAAAGTCTAGAATGCACTGTTACTGTCCAATATGTTTGTCCACTAGGGTTGCCCCTTTTTAGACAGAAATGCCCTGGTCCTAGTATCCCTCATATTCTCAGTCATCAACCCATAGCTCCTGGGAAAAGTGTGTCCTGAGCAAGATTGCTGCAGCACAATCCAAGTGCTGCAGCTGGAGGTTGTAGGCTGGAGGTTGTCAGTTAAACTGCATCCCTCACACCGACCAGCAAGTTCTGCTCTTTTTTTATTGTTGTTTGTGCTAAAACACAGAACGTTGCAAATTAAAACCACAATGAGATATCCCCTCACACCAGTTAGGATGGCCAACATTCAAAAGATGGAGACAACAATGCTGGCGAGGATGCAGAGAAAGGGGAACCCTCCTACACTGTTGGTGGGAATGTAAATTAGTTCAGCCATTGTGGAAAACAATATGGAGGTTCCTCAAAAAAGCAAAAATAAATACCATTTGACCCAGTAATTCCATTCCTAGGAATTTACCTAAAGAAAACAAGATCCCAGATTCAAAAAGACATATGCACCCCTATGTTTATTGTAGCACTATTTACAATAGCCAAGACATGGAAACAACCTAAGTGTACATCAATAGATAACTGGATAAAGAAGAAATGGTACATATACACAGTGGAATATTATTCAGCCATAAAAAGAAAATAAATCCTACCATTTGCAAGAACACTGGAGTTGGAGGGTATTATGCTCAGTGAAATAAGTCAGGTGGAGAAAACAAGTACCAAATGATTTCACTCATTTGTGGAGTATAACAACAAAGCAAAACTGAAGGAACAAAACAGCAGCAGACTCACAGTCTCCAAGAAGGGACTAGCAGTTACCAAAGGAAAAGAGGGTGGGGTGGGTGGGTGGGGAGGGAGGGAGAAGGGGACTAAGAGGTATTATGATTAGCATACATAATGTAGGGGGTCACAGGGTAGTCAGTATAGCACAGAGAAGACAAGTAGTGACTCTGTAGCATCTTACTACACTGATGGATCATGACTACAATGGGGTGTGTGTGGGGAGACTTGATAATATGGGTGAATGTAACCACAATATTGATCATGTGAAAACCTTCATAAGATTGTATAGCAATGATACCTTACTAAAAAATAAATAACAGAACATGAAACTACCATCTTAATCATTTCCAAGTGTACAGTTCAGTTAAAGTATATTCACGCTGCATAAGCATTCTCTAAATTGTAAGTATATATATTGGAAGCAATCTTGCAAAATTGAAACTCTGTACCAAGTAACAGCAACTCCCTATGCTGCCCTCCCTCCAGCCCCTGGCACCCACTGTTCTACTCTCTGTCTCTATGAATCTGACTTCTCTAGGCATCTCATACAAGTGGAATCATACAGTATTTGTCTGTTTGTCACTGGTTTCTTTCTTTCCTTCTTTTTAAATTCATTTTAGTATCATTAATCTACAATTGCATGAAGAACATTATGGTTACTAGACTCCCCTTTCACCAAGTCCCTCCCCGCAAACCCCATTACAGTCACTGTCCATCAGCATAGTAAGATGCTGTAGACCCACTACTTGTCTTCTCTGTGTTGCACAGCCCTCCCTATGCACCCCCCACATTATACATGCTTATCGTAAGGCCCCCTTTCTTTTTCCCTGCCCTTATCCCTCCCTTCCCATCCCTCCTGCCCAGTCCCTTTCCCTTTGGTAACCGTTAGTCCATTCTTGGGTTCTGTGATTCTGCTGCTGTTTTGTTCCTTCAGTTTTCCTTTGTTCTTATACTCCACATATGAGTGAAATCATTTGGTACTTGTCTTTCTCCACCTGGCTTATTTCACTGAGCATATTACCCTCTAGCTCCATCCATGTTGTTGGAAATGGTAGGATTTGTTTTCTTCTTATGGCTGAATAATATTCCATTGTGTATATGTACCACATCTTCTTTATCCATTCATCTATTGATGGACACTTAGGTTGCTTTCTTTTCTTGACTACTGTAAATAATGCTGTGATAAACATAGGGGTGCATCTGTCTTTTTCAAACTGGGCTGCTGCATTCTTAGGGTAAATTCCTAGAAGTGGAATTCCTGGGTCAAATGGTATTTCTATTTTGAGCTTTTTGAGGAACCTCCATATTGCTTTCCACAATGGTTGAACTAATTTGCATTCCCACCAGCAGTGAAGGAGGGTTCCCCTTTCTCCGCATCCCCGCCAACATTTGTTGCTGTTTGTCTTTTGGATGGTGGCTCTTTCTTTCTTTTTTAAAGTATCGTTAATATACAATCGTATCTTGGGTTCAAATGTACATCACAGTGGTTTAACAGTCCCTATGATCGACTTATACTGTGATTGAGAATTACTGTGCCCTTGTATTCCCTCCGTTTCCCCCTCCCCACCCCCTATCCCTACCCCTTCCTTTTGGTAACCACTAGTCCCTTCTCAGTGTCTGTGAGTCTACTGCTGTTCTATTCCTTCTGTTTTGCTTTGTTTTTATATTCCACAAATCAGTGAAATCATATGGTATTTGTTTTTTTCCACCTGGCTTATTTCACTGAGCATAATACCCTCTAGATCCATCCATGTTGTTGCAGATGGCATGATTTCTTTTCTTTTTATGACTAAATAACATTCTATTGTGTATATATGTACCACATCTTCTTTACCCATTCAATGATGGACATTTAGGTTGCTTCCATATCTTGGCTATTGTAAACAGCATGGTGATAAATATAGGGGTGCATGTATCTTTTCAAATCAGGGATTTTATTTTCTTCGAGTAAATTCCTAGGAGTGGAATTACTGGGTCAAATTGTATTTCTGTTTTTAGTTTTTTGAGGAACCTCCATACTGCATTCCACAGCTGTTGCACCAATTTGCAGACCCACCAGGAGTGTAGGAGAGTTCCTATTCTCTGCATCCTCACCAGCATTTGTTGTCTCATGTCTTTTGGATATTGGCCATCCTAACTGATGTGAGGTGATATCTCATTGTGGTTTTAATTTGCGTTTCCCTGATGATTAGGGATGTGGGGTATCTTTTCATAGGCCTGTTGGCCATTTGTAATTCTTCTTTGGAGAAGTGTCTGTTCAGGTACTCTGACCATTTTTTGATTGTGTTATTTGTTTTTTGGGTGTTAAGGCATATGACTTCTTTATATATTTTGGATGTTAACCCCTTATCAGTTGAGTCATTTAAGAATATATTCTACCATACCATAGGATGCCTTTTTGTTCTGCTGAAAGTGTCCTTTGCTGTACAGAAAGTTTTTACTTTGATGTAGTCTCACTTCTTCATTTTTTATTTTGTTTCCCTTGACTGAGGAGATGTGTCCAGGAAAAAGTTGCTCTTGCTATATGTTCGAGAGATTTTTGCCTGTTTTCTTCTAAGAGTTTTATGGTTTCATGACTTACATTCAGGTCTTTGATCCATTTCGAGTTTACTTTTGTGTATGGAGTTAGTAATCAGTTTCATTCTCTTACATATAGCTGTCCAGTTTTGCCAACACCAGTTGTTGAAGAGGCTGTCTTTTCCCCATTGTATATCCACGGCTCCTTTATCATATATTATTTGACCATATATGTGTGGGTTTATATCTGGGCCCTTTATTCCATTCCATTGATCTATGGGTCTGTTCTTGTGCCAGTACCAAATTGTTTTGATTACTGTGGCTTTGTAGTAGAGCTTGAAGCCAGGGAGCGTAATCCTCCAGCTTTGTTCATGTTCCTCAGGATTGCTTCAGTTATTTGGTCTTTTGTGGTTTCACATGAATTTTAGAACTATTTGTTGTAGTTCATTGAAGAATGCTGTTGGTATTTTGATAGGGATTGCATTGAATCTGTAAATTGCTTTAGGCAAGATGGCCATTTTGACAATATTAATTCTTCCTACCCATGATCATGGGATAGATTTCCATTTGTTGGTATCTTCTTTAATTTCTCTCATGAGTGTCTTGTTTTCAGAGTATAGGTCTTTCACCTCTTGGTTAGGTTTATTCCTAGGTATTTTATTCTTTTTGATGCAATGTAAATGGAGTTATTTTCTGATTTCT